GGCCCGTTGTGCTACTCTATTTTCCACTTTTTGTGATGGCCGTATATCAGGTTCAGGGCCCAATTTCGCACTATTTAGCCCGCGGGAAGTGTTAATTGAGTATGCACCAACATCAGATTAAGGCCCAACATGTAATAGGGTGACAAATGAGCGGAAATCACTCGACAATAAACACAAAACACTAGTCAGATAAAAGGGTCAGCCAGTGAAATGCGATAGCTTGTGGAAAGTAAAAATGGCACCTACAAGATGTGTAGTACGGCAAGGAAAATAAACTAGACACTGACTAGCTAGTTCAGCTTACGTAAGTGTTAGCTATAGTATATATAAATTTCTGAAATAAGAAACAGTTTTCGTCAGGTACACTCTATGGAACAAAGCACACAGTATTATTCCGCAATCTCTTGGGTTACTTCGATTTGACTGAATCTACAAACAAGTGAACACAGTTGACCCATTTAAAGGAAATATAATCTGTAAGAGATGCAAATGACTACATAAAGTATTTAGTTAAGGGTGTAATCTCTGAGGAATATATATATATATATATATATATATATATATATATATATATATATATATATATATATATATACTTCGTAACGAAATGGGCAGACAAATGCCAGTATGGCAGGAAATAAGAAACTAGTCATTGAGCTAGAAACTTTTACGCTACAATAGCATGAATCTTAAAACAGAATACTTTAGGCTTGAGTATTAGAAAGTTTCAAAACTAAGAATAAGGACAGAGACTGACAAAGTCACCTCTGGATGCACAATTCCGGTTTCAATGTTTCTCTTACTAAGATGTCAGGGATGCAAATTGTGCTCCTTGTGATGCCCTTTAGAATGTAACGCATTTTGTAGAACACTGCAAACAAGTTTTCCAAACGCTCTATGTCAACTAGATGTAGTAGTATAGAGCTACTGACCTGATAATCATTTTATTGGAAACAATTTTTGATATGCATTGACCTTTACTGAGCCATGATGTGTTGGCATTGTCAATATCTCTGCTTGCGGGCTATTTACCTAACTCCAAAGGAGCGAGTGCATTGATATATGTACATGGAAGTGGCTATCAGTCGCCTTTCCTCCTTCGCACACGTTGACCTTACGGAAACTAGTACAGATGAATTGTAGAGTGGTCATTGAGAAATATTGTCATTTTTACCAATGAGCGTGCATACTAATTATATTTAAGTGCGATTGCACAGCTCCTGAAGAAACAAATGTGTATAGAATTCTTTTTTTATAACTCAGTGAAAATATCTAATCCTTGTTTACTCAAGACCAGTCAATTAACTTGCTAATTGGTATTCACGTTACAAATTGTTCGGGAGAATGGCGATTCGAAAAGATTACAGTTCAATGATAGTCGCAAACTGCTTATTTGGTGGATGAGCGGTAATTATTTATTGATCTTCATGCAATTGTCTACACACCCTCCTTCTGATATTCTCCCTACCATACAGTGTGAGATTGTTTGTTAAATAGCTGACTTATACTTTTTAACCTCGCTCACCTGTTATGGTTGTGGGTGTAGAATGTGATAAATTTTCTTGATACTACGTGCCACTTATGATCAGACTGTTGCATCTGTTTTTTCTTCACTTACCTAACAGTTGTCAGGTATTGAGTAAATTTAAAAACATTTTAGGCTGTTTGGCATGCACCAGCAAGGTGTATCGGTCACCGTGAGGAAACTTCTTTCTGTAATTCGAACCTGTGTCAATCAGTTCTTGAATCCTACCAATGTATATCTCATTACCTGCCCACAAGGTATCTTAACAAGTGCAAGTTAACACTGGCCATCAAATTTCCGAATCCTCTACGATCAGTACGTCCATTACTAAATTTGTAGTGGAGCACGAGTCTTGGAATTCTTATTCAATAGTGGATATTATAAGACTCAGGTCACTGCGTTGCGAAATTGAACAATGCAGGCTGTCTATAGGGTAATTAGTATTGTAGCTCGACGACTAAATGCATCAGGCCAAATCCTTTGTGTAAGCCTATTAGCAACATCTCGTTGCCCAATATGCGGCGCCGAATTTCAATAATTGACCTACCTGTTGAGAGCGAAAATAAATGAGCAACAGTTGTAGAGATGCATGCTGATAAGGTGGTGTTGTTACAAGAAAACAGTATAATTCGAAATGACCGTACGACTTTCCGATCCCGTCTTTTATGAGCAAATAGGTCGTCTCTGGAATCTCAATCTAGATCAAGAAGTCTCACATTAGCTTTCCTTTTCCTACTTAGTGATTAAGTACTAGTTGATCCTTTCTAAAAGTGGCAATCTCGGAGGACATATCAAGTTTGAAACAAAGTTGTCTACGTTTTGAATCCCATCTCTGGCGTCACTCTATTTATCAGCACCTTTTGCTGGTGAGATGAAAATGAGATTGAATATTCTCGTCACAAGTATTAATATAGGTTCCCTTAGCTGAATCCTATTTCTGATAAGTGGAACAAAGTGTCAAAACATAGTGAGCGAGCTCAGTATTTCTATGCTGCTCGCAATGGGCGACGTAATCAACGAACGGGTTTTGGATACCTTACATAAATCTAACCTAACGAACTATACTGAGCGGGGGAATTATTTTCTAACGTTCTACCGTTCTAGCAACACCAAAAGCAGTGCTTTCATAATGTAAAATAACACATGATGGAGATCTGATGGCAAAGTCATACTGTTAGCTATGTGGAGTGTAAAGGCAGTAGATTGCTCCGTTAAGGTTATCACCACTCCAATCTAGTGCCGTATTACGCTTTCAGAAACTGCCACCTCTGAAACAGAAGACTCCTTCCCGCCTCACTATCTTTCGGTGCAGCCAGTTAAAGTCTTTGAGTGAAAACAACTTATTCCGTATGAAAACCTCCTAAAATACCTTATGACTGTCATCAAACAAATGTTCCTTTAGGTTCTGTGTTCATGCGCCTAATTTAACCATACTACGTAGTCGATCCACACGGTACGGTCAGTTGGGAAGTGTCAGAAAAACTCAACGTCCAAGTCCCTTTTGATCATCTTCGACCTCACACATCGTTGCCTTGTAATGTATTGATTATTATTCTTTATCACCTCTGAGTCCGCACTGAATTCACAAGACAGCATGCTCGTCCTCCCGAAAACGTGCTGCAAGACGCATAGAGGCGCTTCCAATACCCAGATACCTCATCTAAACGAGACACTTTGTTAGCCAGAACTGGGTTGTCTCGGATCATGTGCTTATATTGTGCTTGAAATATGCATATTAAACTCAAGCATGGTTATTTACTTGACTTCACCGGGTCAATATGGGGAATCTGCGAAAGTTAACCTCCCGAGATTCCCTCACCAGTTTACACTATCTCTTAAAATTATCGTTGATTCCAAAGGGGAGAGGGCGCTATCCGTGACTGGATCCCAGTTGACGGTCACCTATGGACTGTCCAACTGAGTGGTGCAGTAAGGACTGAAAAGAATAATGACAACTCCACTCTATCGCAATCGTGGCTTATGCACATACTGACTGCAGTGTGAAATCTACTGAAAAGCGTTTAATCTCTTGTTAACAGCCAAATATCCCAGCTTTGGTTTTCGCATCGATCTATTCCGACGGAAAACTAAGAAAGTCTAGCCGTGCAGAAACTCTGAATGAGAGAAACGATAAAGGTGATCAATTGCTGAGGCAACCACCTGTTTCTAGCCAGCACGAATTTCAGAAACAACAAAAAACGTAGATCAGCCCAAAGCTAAGCGTAGAATATGTCGACAGGAAATCACTACTACTTTTCAAGCACGCGCCAAGACAGTGACCACGGAATGTTCTAAACAAATTACCATGAGGAATGACAACAAGCCTGTGAGGGCTTGCACCAGAAGCACTTAGAGGCCGCGGTGTGGGTTTATTGGTTAAACTGACTAAAGTGCAACTGGTCATGCGAGCCCTATATAACTGGTTCCAATCGCTGCTTATTTCAGTATTCAAGACAGGAGAAAGACTGTGATAAACAAAACTGAATCGACCTGATGCCCAGCGTCCACGATTCTGGGTTCCATACACCCCCACCCCTAACCGGAGCTCAGTTATAGAAAGCTCAAGAAAACCAGGTAGGACTCAGCTGGCAGTCTATGTTGGAAAAACTTCCATTCTTCGTTATATTTTATAACATAGGCATATTTATCGGGATCTAACTCTAGTTATATATCTGGACCTGAAGGTGGTATCCGAATTCGTTCATCAAAAGGTCTAACGGCTTTGTCCCTGAAAGGTGTCTAATAAGTAAATTACCTCACTAAAAACTTTATACTTAAGCATCGGTGGCCTTCTTAGAACCTACAGCGAGCTAGCAGGTGGAGTATTTACACTCCATTTTTATCCACCTTTATCATAAGTTTGCTAATGGAGGTCACTCTTTCGTCCGACTGATCTCCTTACATAAGAGTCCTTAGTCAGCCTAGAGTACGCAGACGACATAGACTGTTAGACGGAGATGCAATGTCTTCCGAACACATTGAGTGGTAGTTGAAGAGTACGTGAGATACCACTAGTGGTGAAGTTAAGACATCCGAATGCCTACAAAAAATCGAGTGTATGATACAGCAGCCCGTTCTTTCCTACTCCACAGCTGTGTAGAAACACCCCTAGAATTACAAACATAAAAAGGCCCCAGGCGGAACTGGTTTACACAAATGGAGGCGACCAGAGTAAAAGCTCTAATCTTCAATTTGTTACAGAATAGTAGGCGACTGGTGAGGACCACTTTCAACAATGCTGCAAAGAAAGTTTTTCGTAGAGTTTGAAATCCCTTCCTTTAGTATATCAGCAGCTGGGTCAACCTTTGAAGTTAAATTTATCCTTCAAAAGAGAACCGAGGTGATCTCTCTGAATCTTAGGCTTGATGATGTGAGGTGAATGTCCATTTTGAGTCAGGATTTTCCTGAGGCTCATTTCAACTCTCAAGATATCAGGACTGCGTGTTGTAGGCGATATAATCGATCACAAAGCAAATTATCGTAAAATATTGGACATTTTTACTCAAGAAAATTGTTTGTAGTTGGACTACACAAATTTAACAATGAAATCGTTTAGAAGAGCATCTTTGCTGAACCACTTACATCAATGAAGTTCACTTCGTTTTTTTTGTGCCATGATGGGCATTTTTCGTAAATAAATCCAAATTTATTATGAGTTAGGAGTAGGGAAGAAATATTTTCTGAAAGGCATGTGATATTTGTACAGAAATGTTTATTCACAGTTAAACGTCATCATAATCATCTCTCAGTCCATTATATTCCCCAATCTGTTTTCGAATTTTCGATCGAGATGCCCACGTTATGTAATCTTCCATGGATCTGATAATTCATTTTATCAAAAAGAAAATAGGTTGAGTCAACTATTCTGTGAACCGATAGTAGGCAAATTGTAGTATAATAAGTAGAACAGAGAATGAACACCATCATTGGAAAACAATCTAACGTGTTGAACTGATTTCACTCACAAAGAGGAAAATTAGCAATACTATATACATCAAGACAGGCCGTAGTCGTTGTTTAGATGGGAATTCTAAAGCCGTCACCAGAGCATTTAAATTCGTTTGCCTGATTCACAGTGAAACTTATGGCGTGTTAATCTCACATTACTAGCTTAATTAAAATACACTTGTATTTCGGTAGAAAATACAGGCGAAACTGCAGTTATTTTCTTAAACTTCGCACGATCAAATGTAGGTTATATTGCTTTGGCGCAGATGTTAACTAATGGTATTTAGCAATTATTGTTAGCACAAAATGCGAGATTTATATTTCCCCTCGAAAAGTAAATTTTTTTAAGTCTTGTATTTAAATTTCAAAACGGCAAGTTTTTTGTAGGAATACTTTAGGGACTATAATTTTACATATCATGCAAATTCTATGTGGAGTTGTGGTTCGAAGTATTACGTGAGTTCCAACGCTATATATATATATATATATATATATATATATATATATATATATATATATATATATATATATAATCTGCTACTGAAGGCAACACCAGTAACAAAAAGCCATTTATACTACAAACAAAAATTAGTGCGACATTGGCGCCAAGGGATGCCCAAGACAAAATGATCTAATAGCATTAAAATGATATAAAGAGGAACAAGGAATAATGATCAAAATAGCAGGAGCACCAGCAAAAGGTGCATTCAAAATCCATTATCGCCTTCGCAACATTTTCCAAACATACGGAGGACAAAAAACTGCAACAATCTCATTACTCATTTGAATTTCGGACGATTTGTAACAAAGAAACAATCTCTTGAACTACAATTAGGGAATCTTAATGCACTAACAGATACCACTTTTACATAGCTATCCTTCAAACCATGGCATCGCTTCACAAGTGGGACATCTCTATGCGCTTTTTAGAACTACTGCTAATTTCAGAAAGCAATGATTACTGTGATAAGTAGGATGTATTCCACCAAACTAATTAAGCCGGTATCTCATGATGATTCCCATTGTTGGGTGGTGATTCACGCTCAAACACGCCATCAGAATAACTTACATGATTCTGTCGTTGGGTGTGGGCACTTACATGGAGAGCAGCGATCGGACACAGAGGTGCTGGATACTTGCAGCTCAGAGAATCCAGATATCACAGGTTTCTAACAGAAACAACTGATACCAAACTGTTGGGTATCCCGCTTTTACAATCAGAACGTTACGATAGCACCAAAAGTGATTGAGATACGTTTATACCATTAGCTTTCGAAATAAAACACGAAATATCATTTTCCCCAGATCTATTAACAAACCCTAAAAGTCTTTCCGAAACTAGAGGTAAGAGTGGGCAAAGGGTTCTTGAGACTCCTTCGTTATGGTAAAAAAAACTGTAGCCCTAAACTCACTGGTAATCTTGTTTAACTACTTGCCATCTGAGTAGTTCATGGTAGCCCTCTTGATCATAACTTTTAAACATAAATGTCGTTTTATTTCACTAACCAGCTGCTTTTTGGCAAACAAGCCAATCAGTAATAAGAAGCGGTGATTGGCAAATGGAAGGTTCGAATGTTGATATTTGCAACTACGGTAGATTATGGACGCCCTAACTTGATACTGAATGAATGAAATACGACACTCGACAACTCGCTTGGTCAGTATAAAGAAAAATACGACTGGACTGAAGCTTACCTCAATCGGAACAGTGTTAAAAGGGGGCACAGTCAGTAAGTCTAAGTACGACGAGAATACCCTCAAGACGGATAAATCAGCATATTAAAAGTGGGAGAACAGCGTCCTTATAAGCAATACGAGTTATATACATAACGGGGGAAAAAGTGTAAATGATAAATCCCAATTCCTACCAGGTAACTTTTATGCATTTAAGGAGCAAAGCATTTATTTTTGAGAATCTAAAGTCCTTCATAGCAAAAGCACTCTACTTACATTCCCGCTGTTATTACTGATCTGCATCGTCGCACTTAATCTTTCTATACTGGTCTGAGCAGTCTTGTAGCGTACCTAACCACCTTCATGCAAGCAAATTTACCGTCGGAATTCCATAGATATTATACTGTGAGTCTGAATGACTACTCTCCGTCATAGAGGTGGTAAAATTTGCTGACAAAATAAAAATGTGACAACTAGTTTCCTAAAGTAAGATAGTTATCAGTCATACAAGCTGTTTCACAGTGAAAAGTACCAACTGTAGGAACACTCCAAGAAATGCTACACAGGAATTCATTTAGCACTTTGCTATGTATAATAGGCAAAATTTGACAAACTTCTTTAGATACTTCCAAAACTTGAATATTTCCTTTAAGTACAAAGATTTTCTCAAAACCCTTCTGAATGGACACAAAGTGTACCGATTCCACATGAATTCAATATAAAAATGTCTTATACAGCATAATTAAGGTACATTTAAAGATGTACATTACTGACAAACCTTGTAACCAGATATGCAGGATCTCGTATTATATCCGGCCCAACACGAACGTGTCCCTGTTCAACAAACGTCACAGCAGCTTTCATAGTTTCTGCCATTTTTGAACGCATTAGAATTACGGAAAGCCTCCTTCGACAAAATGAAGAGGCATTGACCTTTGAGGCTAGCATAAGACTTCTTCTTGTTGGTATTAAACCTAAGTTGTGCCTTAATACACATCACACTTAAAAGTAACAACATACAACTTAGCTGTCAACAATTCAGTCATTTCCGCCCTCCATGGATCACTTTCATCCATATCTTTAAGTTTCTCTGCAATGTCCCTTATTTTTCGAGAAAGTCTGTTGTACCTATAAATGATAAAAGAATGTTTATAGAAAATTAAGCATACAATCAGGTTGATATATCAACATTATTGTTGCTAATTAATAAGAAAAATATACTGGTAGAGAAAAAACTACAAAACACTGGTGGTTATCGATAGCCAGTGTGTTTATCTGTGATAATAAGGAAGGATAAATCCGGATTTTGGATGGAGTGATGTGCACTGAAGATTTGCCTGATCAACTCGCGCACAAACGGGTCCTGAGCGAAAGATTAACATGTTATGTGAAACGCACTGCCACTCGTTAACAACTTGCACAATCACACCCCAAGCTGAGTCACAGCTCTCATAACTGTATGAAGCTGTACTAATGATGGGCGATCATAAATACTCAAATTATGATTTTTTGTGGTTCTGATGCATAAGTCAATGTGAGTGATACGTTAGAAAGTGGTTCGAGAAAACTATAGACCTCATACATTATTTATATTGAACTAATACTTATTCAAGCGTTAGTTGGAGTAACTTTACCAAGAAGTGAGATCAACGCATGAAGTCGTTAACTGGGTTTGAACCGCGTAGATTTCCTAGATACAGCCTAAGTAGGGTTAGAAATTAGTATTAAGAGACTCTTCCAGATACGGCTAAAAACGGAATCAGAATAGAGAGCACGTATTCACTCTTAATCTTCTTCAAAACTTGGAAGCTTTTACCAATATTTATTGTTTTTTCGCCACTCTCATATTCCTTTTCGTGTTGTGTACTTCGATTTTACTTTGTACTGTAGTAAAGTTCTGATTCACACTTCGCAACAGCTTTCATTTTCCATTGGTTTGCAATTCAAAAATGAAGTGCCTAAAAGTCACACGGTATTTCGTAAAAACAATTTAGCATAAACTGATAACAGTGACCAATTACTACTTGTAGAATGTAGAAACAAGCAAGAAAATGTACTGATGACTTCCGCACTCTTTAACAATAACGAGAGATCATAGAAGACAAATAAACGAAAATCAATAAGACTTTCGGGAAATTCGGGAAGACAGATAGACATGCTGCATCCAACTGAAAATTATACAAAATTAGCAGAACAAAAACTAAGTTACCTGGCTAAGAATATGATTCTGTTTCAGAAACGAATATGAAAATTACATGCAGCAGATTAAAACAAAGACCTGCGTAAATAGCTTGAGACTGCATCCCTTACTATCTTCATCATTTACACAACTATACGGAAGACTTAGTGTAAAAAAACAACCATTTATATGGTGTGTGCTAATTTGCTTCGGAATAATGCCGCCGTACAAAAGGCAGAGTAATACCTGAACGGAATAGAATAGTTTGAAAACTAGTATAGGGTAATTAAATGTCCAAGATACAAAGGAAAATTGAGTGCATGTGTTATTGTGATAGCTAAAGGTCATGTCAGTAAGGGTTTTCAATCACTGACTGCTAAACAGAAAGAATTTTAATTATATAGGACACGCTGTTATTAAGTAGCTATTTAAGTTACTAAACTTTAATATCAGCAAACTATTGTAGAATTTAGCACGAGAGAAGATAAAGAAATAAGAATATTATCATACGTTTCAGAAAAAAAGGAAAGGTGATTAAGGGAATGAAGATATGTAATATGGTCCAGACTAAAAAGGTATGCATGCACCTGGGCTTCTTGAAACGATTTTAAACTACGTATCACTTTTAGTCTCGAACTATTACGGACATCAATTCAAAAGCTTACATTTCTCCACAAGGTTCAGAACGGTAAGCTTTATGAATGTGTCAAATCTCGGCCTCTTGACTTTCAGCTTGTTCGTAAACCAACTCCACTGCAATTTCCTTTGTTGCTACAGCAAAGTATGCCAGCACCACCATAACGCAAACAAGAAACTTATATTTTCAATGCGACCAATAACGTGTAAAATTCTTGAAAAAATGTTTTCTTGGCTTGCTTTTTAAGAATACCTTTTCAACCTTCTAGAAAGAAGGTATTTTCGTTACGTATAACATATCTAAAATGCTTAAGTTAGAGTGGGTTTACGGACTTATCGACTGAATTATCTACCTTACAGAAAAGTATGTCGCTTCAGGACACAATCTGGTGACAAGACGATAAGGCTATAAGATGCATAGTGGGCAACTTAAATTGAATCTTGGGAACCAAATAGGCTATCCCTTGTACTCAATTTGTGCAGGGGGATTATACCACCTGACTGCCTGAAACTCGATGTGAAACGGAGTTTAGGCCCACAAACCACTGACTGAATGATAAGTAAAGCATTGCGGAAAAATATAAGCGAATCTAGGTAGGCAGCAATACACACAGACTTAACATAAGAAATAAACAAACTATCCAATATCTGTCCGTCGAATGATGATGTGATGCTAACCTTTACGGAATCGAGTTTGAACTAACAAGAAGTTCGAAATCCCAGATTGCATTGAGATAGTATATACGTTGTATATGCTATGTTGAAAGGTTAAGGCGAAGTGACAACTGCATTGTGATCAAACGGTTGTAACATAGATACAAGTGAAAATGAGCGTTAACAACAGTAAATAATCTTGTGTATTCAGTACATTTGGTATATTTTATGACACAAAGTTTATGAGTAGAGAATTATCACGTTGGGTGTTTGAAGGACACGGGTACGTAAACATGCTTCAATAGAAAGTAGCTTTATATAATTGAATGATCACAGTCAGAACGAAAAACAAGACCACAGCAGGACTCGAATAAACGACTTGCATGTTGCTGGGGTCCGATGAAATACTGAATAAGCTACAGAACTCAGGTGCTAACCGGGTATTAACTTCACTGTATCAAAAAGATAATTTAACTCAAGTAGGTACTTGCTTATGTACTAAGCTATGGGTCACCGACAATAGGCCGCCACCTTTATGTGATGGTTGAACTTCCCCATAACAATGACTCAACGGCCGACACTGGTGGAAACCCTTGTTCCTTTGAGGTTCTACCATACCAGAAACGTCTGTTGGACAGTGTTAAGACAAGAAGCAGTGTAAATTGCTACGCTATATTAGGGGTCTGATGGTGAAATCATACTGCTGGCTGGATGAGGGTAAGACAGCAGTAGTATGTTTCCCATGGACGACTAGCATAACCATGCTGATGGTGTTTTTCCTATAGGAAGGGGGTTTGAAAAGGTCGACCCGGAAAATAACACACTCCTGAGCTGTGATCTTCCACTGCGGGTGGTGTGCGTTTTCTAGCTAGCTACAAACTAATCAAGGCTAGACCCTAAACTTCCAGAAAGGTCGTGTACGACTTGTCTCAAGCAAATGCGTGTGGGTACCGTGGTCAGGTACCGCTATCACTAATACAAGCCACAACAAGCTTCGCTAGCCGAAACCATGGCATATTGGGTCGTGAGTTTATGCTGTGTTTGCAAGACACAAATACATGATCCAAGTTCAGTTATTCACTTAACATCACCCGAAAAATATGGTGAATCTGATAAATGCACCCCTTTGAGCTTCTGGAGATTCGATGGCCACTGGACTACTAAACCAGTAGTGGGGTTAGGAAGAGTTACGCGATTTCTCCATTCCCCTTTAACTATGCAATCGATAACATTCTTGAGACAGCTCTGAAGGAGGTGCGTGATGGCGATGTAGACCTACTACCCGGAGAACGGCAATTCAAACTTGAAGATGCGGACGATATCATCTTGCTGTGCTACAATACACAGGCTACTCGAGTCGCACTAAATCAGTTGGCGGTTAGTGTCTGTAAGTCAGGTATATGTATAGCACCATTGGAGCGCAGAGTACTTTTACAAGATTGGCAGGAGCCGCAGCCGACGCTTACCTTTGGTGGTGAGCTGTTGGAAGTAGTTGAAAAATTTTTGTACCTGGGTGGTTGTGTGTGATGACACTTCTAAATGCATATTGAAAGTCAGAGTTGCATACACCAATCTAGGCCACCCTTGGCGCATCGCAACGTTAGTCTGACCGTAAAAGGTTGGGGGTTTACAATGCTTTGGTGCGAGCAGTTCTGCTCTACGTCTGTGAAACCTGGCCTCTTTAAGCTGAAGACATGAGACGACTCTGTGTTCGATCATCGCTGTCTCCATACGACCACTTGTATCCGATAACAACACCATGTACGTAATTCCGAGGTACGACAGTGTGCGTCTGGGCATGATGTAAATAAGTGAAGTCATCTGAAAACACCGGCTTCGGTGGCTTTGACATGTGTAATGCATGTCGTCCCAACGGCTTCTACTATACCGTTCATTGTTTGCTAACTCTGGAAGTGGATGAAGGAAGAGGACAGGTGGTCAGTGTTTGACGTGGCGCCGTGGGGTAAAGGATACTTGTATCGGGTTAGCATCTGTTGGTTCACCACGACTCCTTGGGTGGGATCCGAGGGATCACGCAACTCAGTGCCTTCAGACGTCATCAGATATGGCTCAGAATCGAAACCAGTGGCGGTCATGCTATAGCTTCTTCCTATTTTTTGCTGCTGAAAAGTAAGGAATGATTTGTTTCTGAATGTATGTTATTGGACTACCCTTCTAATAGTGCTATTCTTATCGGTTTTTTCTTACTTAACCCCTTTTCATCGTTTATATCTTTATAATATTGTTATACTATTTTGTTGTGCATTTCTCGGTGCTCTTGCTGTACCAAGTTTGTGTCCTAATAATAATGATAAATAATGCCAGTTCCTATGTTGGTTTTGACGTGAGCCACATTCGTTGTGTGAGGACCTGCGATACTACGCGGCTCAAAAGATCGAAATGTGTGAAGTGGAATTGGAATCCAGGTCCCATTGCTCGACACTTCACTGAAACCACCATGGCACCGTTAGTTTATTTTTAGCATACATTAGCTGCCCCGTCAAGTAATATAATCTCAATCCAAATTTAGCTGCGTATGTTAGCAAATTACTTATTGTAGATGCCAGTTTGAGATAAACGTGGTATCAAATTAAATCACCATTCCATTACTTGATAAAAATTCATATTTTCCTTTTACATCTGACTGCGATACGTAAGCAGAACTAACAGAAAGGTATAAAATTTAAAGGCAAATCACTTCACGATACTTTACAGACTTCGCACCAGTTATCGACTTCTGGGTTCTAACTTGAAACGAACTTCATGGTACTAACACAAATAACTTCCTCAGGTTATGTTGAAAATAGTCTTGAGCATTATATATTAGAAAGAACTGTTGCTAAAATATAACGACAGAAACCAGTCAAAAGCCGTTGCCACATAAGCACTGCAATCAATATAGAGTTATACACTGCACCCGTAAAACATTATCGACCATATGGACATTAAACAGTTGCGTTCAAACAATATTTGAAATGAAAATTTGCAACCTATTATAGGTTATGCATTTCATAGATGTGATATTTACTGACTAAATGATGTTCGTAACTTATGAATATACATAAAATTACGAAAGTATCATCTACGTATCTGAGCCAAATACGTGGTTTGATGGTGTTCGAAAAGATGATTGACTCAATGTGGGACATGGAAAGGTTTGCAACGATAGGGAACACCGGAGAACCCACAGCTACTCCATTAGTTTGCTTGTATAGTTTTCCTCTAAACGTGAAGAGTGTCGACTTTAAACAAAAGTTGAGTGCTTTCACGTGAGGCTGGGGTTCAACGGAGACCTATCTGTCAGCGTGTGATCACATTCTAGTAATTCATTTATGAAATCTAAACATTTTCCAATGGGAATACTAGTGAAACAACATCATAACTTACCATTGGAAGTAAGTAATATATCAGATATATTATATTCCAATAACTACCCTAGGAACATCATTCAAAAGATCTAAAAACATGAACAGTGGGACCCAAGAGTAAATTCAAATGATGATTCTTTGATTGGTACAATAGTTCTACCATTCCACCAAGGTACAACCGAAGATTTACAAAGAATCTTAAGGAAGCACCGAATCAGGACCTTCTACAAGACAACCAACACTCTGAGGAATGCTCTAGTCCACGTAAAAGATAAAGTCCCTTTTACCTCCACACAAAATTGTGTCTACAAATTAGGCCGTGTCGACTGTGATGCTTATTATATTGGAGAATCATCCCGTGAGATCCTCACTAGGGCTAAAGAACATGCAAGCTACACAAAACGACCGCCAAATAATCCTGTAGAACTAGAGAACCTACAAATCAAGTCGCCGATCGCTGTCCACGCCATTATATCACAGTCACAAAATCAATTTTGAGAACATTAAAATTATTCAAAAGGGATTTTCAAACTACAAAGAAAGAAGAATAGCAGAGTCATTTCACATTATGTTGAATCCCAATGCACTCAACAAAAAGGAAGGCATAACTATCCAACCAACCTGGACAGTATCCCCGAAAACAAAAACAACGCATCACATACAATGATCTGGTCAAAAGTATATACACACAAACAAACCAAATTTTGCCATCCATATTATTTATTTTTCCACACCCAGTTACAATATACACATATTCATATCACCTTGAACTCCAGACTAATTAACTCATAAACAAAAACAAATTGTGAACGCTTCCTGACCAGCATGACGATGACATTTACATTCATATCATCATCATGTATAGACAATGTGATATGATTCGTCACCTTTTACTATTTAAACTATTCGATAACTTGTACAGGTTTTGTTCTCTGAAGAAGAGATTTCCATGAAGTCGCGAAACGTCAGAAATTTATTTTCCTACTTCATTGGGATTTTACAAAACATATTTCATTTATTATATATATATATATATATATATATATATATATATATATATATATATATGCATGCTGGGTAACAGGTGATTTAATTGTGCAGACTCATTGAACCCATGGGTAACCGATTACAATGCATATACCTGCAACTACTAACTACAGTTCTTGCATAAATAAACGTTAGTAGCGTCGTATCAGCTTTAAAGTCTATTAGCTAAGTGGAGACAAACAACATGAACTTCAAACCAATGTTGCCATAAGAGCAGGGCGTATATTATACATTGGTGAAGTGTGACTAAACTGAGGAGTTTGTTTCATAAGGAATTTTATCTGTTACAACTTCCCTTCACGCGTCAAACGACAAAACTCTAACATATTTATTTTTCAGTCGTCATTCCTTTTTAACTACTTTTTAAAATCTGTCTTCATTTATCGGAATTCACGAAACAGTCTAACCATACAAATGAATTGTAAAAACCTAAATAGTCCATGCTTTAAGCCAAGTTCGTCTGTGTGGGAAGGAGAGGTAGGAAAATATCAACTTTATGGTATTCAGAATGCAGTATGACGAACAAACTGAAGGTTTGATCTCTAACATCTATGAAAACCAAATTGGTTCGTACTACACGTAAAAGAATGTCTTTTTAGGATGAGAAACAAAAACTCATTAAATCATGACTTAACAAGGTCGTTTATTGTTAACAGATTACGTATCCCGTTTTCAATCGGCAATTATCCATCCAGGTTGGCAGACCGATATTAACCAAGTGAAAACAGCTATGAAACTGTCAGGTGGGAACATATTTGACTAACCCTTTTATAACCAAGGGAAGAGTACATACACGACCATATCAAGTGCACTCAGGTAAATGGGATTTGAGATATATTGTTAGTACTTAACGCGAAACCGACCAGCTAATATCCAGACACAGCGAGGAAGTTAGAAACCAAATGAAAACCAGGGAGAAAAAAAGATTTTGATACTTGACTCACGTTTCTAAACCTGATCTTATCTTGGCTCGGGGTTCTACAGTTTTGTTTCAATTGACGACACTGCCGCCTGAGAACGGGTAGCTAACCTAACATCGAACTTCTTATGGGTAAATAACCACAAGTTAACGCAGTACCGAGCGGCGAATGGTCTGGATTAGTTCAGAAGTTATACAGCTGCTAAATCCAAGACCCTTAAGGGTATTCAGTAACAAGGATAGGAGGCTGGTTGACCTATGTTAATTCTCGCAGTAAATACATACGAAGAACTAGTTTCTCCTTGAATCCATCTATCGAAGGGCCTGATGTCACTTGATGAGGTATGGAGTTCCAGTCGCCGGTCACGCGAGTTCATACCAAGTTGACTTATCTGTGATTTGTGGACCTTGTGATGGCCTTCAAGATAGTCGATTTTAGCAGGAGAGAAAAGGCAGGGCACAGCAATACCGAGGTCAATGTTAAAGATACCAAATGGCGGTATGAAATCACCTCTTACGGTAAGACGGCAAAAATAGATTCAGAAGTCCTGTACGTTCCTCATACGGCAGACTGGGAAGTTCGGTAACCGGCTTAGTACCTACGCATCGAACATCAGCATTTCCTTTCTGGGCATGAACTGGCTGTCTGAAACCAGTAATTTTACATATGTTGGATACAGCCTCCTGACCAAGGCTTCTGAAAGCTGTGTAGGGACTGCAACATACGAAAGCCATCTGCTGCAGCCGTACTGCGGTAGGAGGATATTTTCAAATAAGGCTTATGATAACACGTAGATCTCGTGGTTTGAAGGCAGGACGTAGTGATGTACGGTCAATAGGATACCGAAAACGATCACCATGACCAATGTGCATCTGTGCCTGACTTCGTTAGTATACACAAGTCCCGTTGGGAAGGAAATTGGGTATTCAATCGTGCCCCCTGGCTCCCCTTCTGAAAAAGGTATAGTCTTTCAAGTAGTCAACACAACCCTAAACTAGTTTCTTTTCATATTCAATATGACTACTAGTAACGACAAACTCCACATTATTTCTAGTTTCTATTTATCGATCGCTGAGTTGTTTCCTACGCCTTAGTAATCCTAGGGTCTGACTATCTATACCAGGAGGTCTTTGGGTAGATGTGGCTGTAGTTTAAGATGACTATCAATCATTGGGTCACGCTATCAAGCGACGCCCCAACTACTGATGTTTGGGTAGCCAGTTAGTATCACGAGACCTCACAATAGGTGCGGCCCATTGTCTACTGTACGGATGAGCACAGGGTGGCTGGATGCGTTTAATTCATTCTCTGGACAGATTTCTATAAAGCTGGTCAAACAATGAAAGGAAGTGAAATTTTAGAGCACGACCTTGAATTCACACATTATCAGTACGATCTTACCGATTTTCAAGGACAGTAGACCGGTTTTAGCGTATCTAATTGCCTAAAAAAACGCTTGCCAAATAAAGATTGACGATGGACAGTTTCATGAACTATGCCAAAAGTTATAAATCTCAAGACATCCGCATTAACACAACTTGCCAAATGTAGGAGGTATCTAAACCACTCAGCCTAGTACGGTGTAAACAGCACGGGAAATGACAATCGAACTAGTAGGCACAAGCCAACTAGGGAAAATCCCAGCTTCCAAAAAGAAAGCTGCAAAACGAAGATCACTTTTTTTGGAACTAAACCATGGATTCCAAAACAGTTCGAAAATAGTCGAAATTATTCACATCATTTAAATCAAACTTACAACGTGTAATCCTCCCGCTTTTGAATATAAAACCGTCTAATGATTTTAACTTCATGCAAATTATTGTCACACTCCCAATTGATAAAGTCAAATTTCTTTAATAACTTCCTTTCGTGATGTTTTAGTTTCCGCACCATTCTGACGAAGAGTTTGAATCCGCACTTCCATTTCAATTGACAATGCCGGTACTAGGAGTAGATAAACCAGTTGCTTCTTAGCTCTGACTGCTGGGATTTTGCTGTATTTTGATGCATTGGATCCATCCACTCACCTTTATAAGCTATGACAAACTAAGCAAGTGGATATGCATGTATTGAAATCATGGAAAGATGTATGATTTAAAATATCCAGTATCTTTTCACAAGCTTGTATAAGCCAACTGACTTCTTAACTATCGCTTCTGGGTTTCATGGAATGGTTCCAGATCTTTGGAGGATTCAGATGCAGTAGGTCCACCCACTTGCCTGCTGTAGCTGTGGCATCACCGACGGCCGGTTGAGTGTTGATTAAATTCGTGTGGGGGGGTCTATGTTTTTTCCAAGGACTGTGGTGCAGACTAGTTCCCCAAATGTCGTGTCACCATGCAGTAGTTTGGATCGGTTTTTAAAGGGATGATAGGAAGAATGAAAAGGTATCTCGTGAAAAAGAGTGCGAGGAAATGAGTAAAGGCAAGTTGGAATGAAGCAGAGTGGAAGAAATGAGAATCCCGATTAGATTCAGGGAGGGCGAGAGGTAAACGTGCGTTAAGAACCCCAACAAATGGGCAAGGTCACTGAGTCAGAGGGAGGTGAAGGAGAGGACATTATAGTAGGAATAATGAGAATAGAAATAATGTGATTGTTGGAGGGTTGGTAATTAGAGGTGATTAGACCTGAGGCTGTGGTCTAAACAGGGTCTTCGAATGTCATGTTAACAAAGAGTCAACCGGACTGGTCGAAGGGAAGTAAAAAGGAAGTAAATGGGGGAGAGACAAGAAGTAAGAGAAAAGGAGGATAACACATTTGGTAAATTTGGGAGAAGTGAAACGGAAATAATGGTAGGAAAACAGAACTTTGCAAAAGATAGAAAAGAGAGAAAGTGTAATGTAAAACGACGGTACGGATAGAGGAGACGACAATATAAATGATATTAGGAAAAAATGGCGATTGAAATGGGACAAGAAAAGGAGGAAATAGGTATTTTTATTGATCATAAACGCTGAATTCTCAGGCAGTCGATTTCTTCGGTCAAAATGGATTTTCCTCACCTCCGTTTTCCATATATTTGTTTCGGCACTCCGACCAATGCAACTGAGCATCACCCGCTAGCAGAAGTCTGTGGGACTTTCTTCAAGAATATTTCACTTTCATGCTGATCTTGGTGACTAGCAAAGAAATTCAAAAAGCGCGTGTTATTCCATTGCGGACTAGTCAGTCGGGTGTGCCTGTATTCTGGCGAGTAATGTGGTTCTCACTAGGATTCGAACCTAGTACCCATTGCTCTAAGCTCCAAAGCGCTATTTTCTTATTGTGCAACGGGTATCAGATTTTGCTATGATGTAGAGGTTGAGCGATTCGCCCCCGTATGACGATGGGAAACACTGGTATCATAAATAACTGATACCCGCTGCACAACAGATGGCCATCGTACCTCAGTGGCTTAGTGGTTAACATTGTGGCATTTGAAGCTAGTGATACCACGTTCGAGTCTCAACAGTCACTGCGTCGTTGGCTGAAATGCGTGTATATAAATCAATATTTTGTTCTCAAATTAACAGTTTAACATGAGAGAAGCCAGTTTACAAGCATCGTCAAGTTGATAATGGTAAGGAAATCTCCAGTAGTTGAGCCGTCCTGAATGATACAGAAGGTATCGCATCACGGTTTATAATGATAATAAAAGTGGCTACAGGTTATGAAAAGAACAGAAAAATATCACTTCATAGTACATTCAGATTGTTTGTGAGTTTTGGTTGTCTCCGGTCACGATTCTTTTTACACGGTAAAATGATACCGAAATCGTACAATATTCGACGTTTGCGTCACGTGTGACCTAGATGGTCAGCCTGGCGGTATAGTTTCGTGTTTCGTCGGATGAGCGTTTATCTTGGCATCAGTTAACATGTTTATAGTATCGGTGGCCAACGAAAACTCACTTTGTCGATTTCAGTTAACAGTAAGTGTTAGCATAACTACCTAATCCACGTGAGTATATAGGTTTTCGCATTTCCCAGTCATAGTGCGACCCTGCTCAGCAATAAAGATGTAATCCGTCAGGTTTAGTTGTTGCTGTGCAAAGAAATAAACATCTGAAGGACTACCACCCAATGCTGATGGAGTTTTGCATATGGAATTGACATTGAGGCATACGGCATTATCAAGGAGATATGATGACTGTTGATTGTCTTCTACAAAGCGGAGTCAAGTGAGGTGAAATGCTGGAGTAGTTTGTTTGATAACATGTATCCGGCAGGTGGGTCTCAAATAGGACGAAACGTGTGTGCCAGTTTCCCTTACTGGTCACTAAAACAAATGTAGACAGAGCGTTTTGACCACACAGCGACTGGAAACTACAAGTATCATTACAAACATTTCGCCTTGTTTATAAGCTCCATAAGGAGCAAGGAGTAGAGAAAGAAACATACGAGTCCGTGAGCTGCAGACTGCACGTAAATAAATAACCTAATTCTTCGTCAAACTTACATATTCGTTGCTTCGGAACACTGGCAGTATTTGGTATCTGCCAATGGCAAACATTCAGAGCATCTAGACCTGAGTTACCTGGCGTTTTGAAAGCCATACCAGCACAGCGCACCTAATCGTAGCTAAACAAGTAAGGGTCGGATCTTGTGGTCAGTCGCCAGGTGGTTTTTACTGCATCTGTACAATACCCTACATTTTCCTCCTCTGGTCTTCCTCCAAGAAGTTCACACTCCCCTTCTGCAATGCTGGTGCAGCGACTTTGCACACCTGGAAGTAGGGTTGAACGTAAGTCTTACAGAGATTGAGGAGCTAGACAGTTAAAACACCTAACCGTGCCCAAAAAGTCCAGAAATAGGCAGGTGATGCACGCCTTGTCCAAATGATTCAAACTAGTAATAATAATATTATATCTCATACAACAAGTTACATGAAGACACACCAGTTAACATGTTTGATCATTTCGGTGATGTGAATTGACTGTTACGGTGTCCAGGTTTTCAGTTAGGATTAGCCCCAGAGTTTTCTCTGGCTCCGGAAGAGAGATATGCATATCACAAGGACTGGCTGACATTGTAGAGTACTTATCGAGAATCAGTTCTGTAAAAAAAACATTTTCCAGTACCCATCTAGGTGAAGTCCCAACCCACTACCTTACCCAATCTAACTAGCATTTTCAGGTCTTTTCGCCCTTCGTTGCAACCAGGCTCATGCAACATTATCCATCTACGTTATCTAAAACAATACGGTTTCGAAAAAAATGCTGCGTGATGCCTGTAGATGCTCCGTGCACATTAGATTAATTTAACCAGCTGCGTGCATCTAGCAATCCTGTTACTCACCTTGTGTAACGTTCCACGTGACAGCTCAAGGCTAAATCGCCGAGCGAACTCTGACCGGTCCTTAGTTTTAACTGATCGAGTACAAATAATACGAAAAAAGAAATTGTAGTAGTGTGAAACGTGCTTGTTTTGAGATGCCTTTTCGTATGCTTTTTCTGAGGCGCACTTAGAAAATGTTCATCGTATGACTGTCACCATATGACCTCAAACTCCGAGGCTGTCAGCACGTCAAAGAAACAGTGCGCATGTGCCGGGTGTTGTTGAACAAGCAGCACTGTAAGTATTGGCCCATCGGGAAGCACCTTATAGCATATCCGAAAGGCAGGTAAGTTGAACTAATCTCTAAAGGCATTCTTGACTATCCATTAGCCTTGATGTTGTCTGCGATAGGAATAAACCTTAAATATAAAGTTGCTGTGTAGCTAATGCACAATCAGTGATATCGAGGGGATTTTTCTTTTTTGTAGACCAAAGATATTATTCACACAAACGCATTTTATTTTATGTTTGATGGGTGATATTGAGAGTCATGTGTCTTGGTGGCTCCATCTTCACTTAAAAGTCTTAGAAGGTGCATGCAAAAATACCCTTTATCAGGCATAGGTTCAACACCCAAGCAGGACTCTCTGTTGTTTGTGTCCCAGCAATATAGCACCAACGTTTTGCACGGTGTCCGGTGAACTGTTGTCAAAGTCCGTACTAGTTTTAGGATCCGGCGCGAGCCACTGTATCTACTTTGTGCTCAAGGCTAAGAGACACAGTATAGTGGGAGAATGCGTCTGTGGATTGACTGTCTATACACAGCTGGAAGTTTTTAAACTACTTATCGGTTGGCCGAAAGTTTTCGTTCCACTGTTTTGTTCTCCGCACTTAGGTTGGATTCTTCCAAAACCTTTCGTTCATGAGTTGACAGTGAAGTAAAACTAAAAGATTCGACAGCCATTGTTTGTGTGCATTTTTGTTCATTGTGCATTCACCTGCGGATCCAGTCAGTCCACCGGGTACCATTCGGTGGAACGCTAGCCTAAAGTATGACCTTTCTCTGGTTTGCTGGCGTCAAACACTACTCAAAAGAACTGTCAATAAAGTAGACGAAACTGGCATTAAACTGGATGCAAAAGAAAGCAGCATTAACATTGCTCTATTTCTCAAAAGTGTTTTACCATCGTAGTATGTAATAGCAGTAGACGCTGCATACAAACATCACGCAGCACACGATTACTGGCTGTGATCGACATGAAACGACATTTTATTCTTACCTGTAACAGGGTTAATCTCAATAGGAATATTTTTATTCCTAAGTCTTTCCGTCTTCACGCTTTGGTATTCAGTGGTGTCACTAAACGCAGGAAATGAAAAACGCCTGCAGAAGCCACCCCCCTCCATTTCTACAAGACCCACCCACCTTCGCAAAGGTGTGGGGAAGAATGACTTAGGCGACCGCCAGACTAAGAGGCGAGATCCACACAGACACGGTCGAAAACAACTTGACCTAACCAACTTATGTTGTCAAATGAAGAGAGGCAATCTAACAGAGGACTGGGAGATCGTCGATCACGAGGCTGATGTCTTCCCAAGATCGGCTGTTTCACGAGAACCGTATTCGCGTACTGCACCCAACTAACCACAACTGGTGTCGCGCACAACCTCCTTCCA